GTGTCATCCTTGCGCGTCATCCTTGCGCTTATTCCGCCAAAGTAAGCCCAAAGTAAGCCCACAGTAGCCAATCACGTCCTACCCTGGGGCTTACTTTTGACCAATCACGTTCCTCCCTCTGTGGGCGTAGTTTACGGTGCCTGTTCTCCCGCTCCCCTCGATTTCAGCCGTGTTAAAGGTAAGTCGTGTTTTACTCTCTTATTGAAAGTAAACAGTAAGATCTGTAAAATATKAAAAGTTACAAATATCGCCTGATATGCGATAATTACGTGTGAATTATGATGACTACAGCTGGAGTAGTGCCAGGAAAGACGTATAAATATTGACCATCTTTTTCTTATTTTCATTCAGAAAAAATAGTTTTTTGCGTCCTGATCTCCCGCTGTATTTCATTCATCCGCGCTAAGGTGAGTCGTGTTTTACTCTGTTATTGAAAGTAAACAGTAAGATCTGTAAAATATAAAAAGTTACAAATATCGCCTGACACGTGATAATTACGTGTGAATTATGAGCGAAGCGCTGTTGTACTATAGCTGGAGTAGTGCCAGGAAAGATGTATAAATATTGACCGTATTTTTCTTATTTTCATTCAGAAAAAATGTACGCCTATCCAATTTTTAGCCGTAACTCAGCCAGGTCAACCAGACTGCTCATGGCGCCGTCGGAGGAGGTGAAGAACAATGAAAGTGTTGAGTCTGGGAGGGCCAAACCCAGAGAGGAGGTGCTGGCAGAGGCCAGMTCTTTTGTCAGGGGTCATGGTGGAGACCCAACTGACATGTTTTTAATACTGGCTCACTGCAAGCTTCAGTTTGGCAAGTACCAGGGCCGGAGATTTAGATGGCTCCTTGAGAACAGCCTTGGCTATGCACTATATTTAGTGCAGAGCATTTCAAAGGAAAAAGTTCATTCAACCCCTCTCTCCGAGAACAAACAGCTGCTCCTGCAGTACACATCCGACATCAGAGAGATCACTCAGGAACTGGAGAAATTTGGGAAGAAGCAGGAAATGCAGGCTAAAGCTCGGGAAACTGGAGACCAGGGCTGTTTGATGGTGGAGTTTGGACAATTTCAGGGCCGCTCCATGAAGGAGGT